AACTATATCTGTGAAGCATCTGCTGACTTGACTGCCCCGGCGGCGTTCAACAAGTGGGAGGGTGGAAACGGTCGATGCCGTTCACTTAAAGAATCATTTCATGGAATTCGTTCCTTGAATGACTTTGTTCTCGATGGAAATGAAATGAACATACTGTGATTTCTGTGTTGTATGTTCCAGGTTGATGAGATTGCTTTTTTCTCTCTTTCTTTCTTTCTTTCTCTCTCTCTCTCTCTCTCTCTCTCTCTCTCTCTCTCTCTCTCTCTCTCTCTCTCTCTCTCTCTCTCTCTCTCTCTCTCTCTCTCTCTCTCTCTCTCTCATCGTTTTTGCGTATTCGGGTGACGTTTTTTCGTAAAGACTAAGAAACGGTTGATTTTATACTGAATCCTCCCCTTTAGCTTTTTTTTTTCTTCTCTATGGGCTAAAGGAATTTATATTCCCGGTTTATTTTATAGTCAGTTATATTTATTTTGTATTGAGATAACATGATTTCTTTTTCGTCTCAGCTTTTTCTCTGGAAACCTTTCCGAGTAATTTTATATTCAATTTTATTTCATATTTAGATAACAGACAGTTCCTTTTCTTCTTTCTTTCGATCTGAAATCCGAGAAACGAAAAACGATGATTGACCGAGATGTTTGAAGTTATTTATTTATTCTTTATTCTGAAGATTGCCAGTATTATCCATCAAATGAAATTCCACAGAAAAAGGGCAAAGTTTGATATTTACAAGAGGCGGCCAGACGATGTTTGTTCTTTAGCTCGCTATTACTCTCCTGCCGATACAAATTTGATTATTGATTGCCTTTGTATACGTAGTGTTATATAGGAAAGCAGTGGGGTAAGGGTTAGCGAATAACGTTATAAGCTTATTTAAGAAAAATATTTTTTAAAATGTCAGTAAGAGCCTGATTTATTCTAACTGCAGCTGAGCTATACTGAAGCGCAAAGTTTTATCTCTTTAATACAGAATATTGATATGTCTGTAACTTGTTGACCATCCACTAATATACTTTGCAACGATATACAATCTGTTCTGTTTTTCTGTGACCCAATAGCTCTAAGTGAACTTTGCGTCTGAAACTGCCAACATATTGATGTCACAGGTCTGACTGCAGAAGAAAAAAAATCTGCAGTAAACTGACGCATGCTTCGGCAATCTGAGCATGACCTCGCATTCACTCAATCAAACTCATGTTCCCATCCACTCATTTCTCCCAAAGCCTTCAGTATTTGTGAGGATACGGCCCTGGCATTGAGCTTAGATCTCTCCGGAATTGCTTTTGAGGAAATTATCTGTCTGGGAACCTTAACATCCGGAGTTTCCCATGGCACGGTGTTTCCACTTTGCCAGCATCACCTACAGACAAACTGGTACCCGCTTCCTTATACAATGATTGTACCTAATGTAGACTATTCGTAACTCTCTCCGCATGATTTACCCATTTTCTTCCTGTGTATACTGTACTCGGAGAGGAGGTAACTAGTCTTACTTACAAGCATTTGCTACTGAACGAAGACTCGTCCTCTGTAGTAACATCACTAGTACAAAGAGGGATACGCCTGCTTAAGTAATGATAAGATATTCTACACAACGGGAGCCCCAGAGATAGTAAGAGAATTATGAATATAAATGGCCACCCTGCGACCTCATATTTGCTTAGCATCTCTTAACAGATCGCAACTCCTTAAGGCAATACATTCACCATTATTGGTGTCGTGAGGGTGTGTCTCTTTAGAACTTCTACCTTACACATCTTAATACGCAAGAAAAGAACATATGAATAAGACTGCAAGTGTCTTAAGAAATGAAGCTTCGTTCAAGTACTGTAAAGAAACTCTAAACCTCAGGGACTGTTTTAATAACTTGATTATATTATAAGAAGCAATCGAAACGGCCATCATGATATTGCGAGGTCATTCCTTCCAGTGAAAAGGATAATAGTGTTTGAGTTATAGTCATAGAGTTTATAACTTAAAGTTTATGTTTGCAGTTACAGTATAAATTGTCGACATAAACTTGAACTTATAATCTATATAAATGTATGTATGTACAGTATGTGTGTATGTCCATCTACATTTGCATGCCTATGTGTATGTATATGTATATATACATACATATATATATATATATATATATATATATATATATATATATATATATACATACATACATATGTATAATAAATATATGTGTATACATATATGTATATGTATATATATGAATATATGTATATATATGTATATGCGCGCTCGTGTGCGTGTGTGTGTGTGTGTGTGTGTGTGTGTGTGTGTGTGTGTGTGTGTGTGTGTGTGTGTGTGTGTGTGTGTGTGTGTGTGTGTGTGGACATATATGTATATATACATATACATATAACCTAACGACATATGCAATGCGACAGTGTTGTCTCTTCATATATATCAATTAGTCACATCTGTGCTGAAGTGGGTATTGGGACCACTAACTTAATCTTTGTTAACTTTTCCAAGAAGGAGGTAGATTATTTGGACAATCTTTTATCCTGTAATAGCAATGGTTTCAATCCGCATAAACACTTACAGTTATCATGCAAGAATCTGAATTAAATCACACCACACGGAAACAGTGCCTTATTACACCATACCTTGCCCATTCATAATTAATTACTGGAGTTATTCAGACTCTGTCTTGTCCTGATGCTAGGGAGGAGGAGCTGTTAGATATAGTGCAGATTCGTAGTAAGGTACATTCAGTTTAAGTCCTCTACTATATATATCAAGATAAGGTTCCGGTGATCTTATCTCTGTGGTGGGAACTCAACTATTAATTGTCAGTGAGCTGAAGCTAACGGTAGTTATTTAATGCCTGTAAAGTGTTTAGTCTCGCATCTTTTTTTTTTTTTTTTTTTTTTTTTGTTTTTTTTTTTTTTTTTTTTTTTGACACGGCTATACCATAGATGCCTTAGATGAAGAGTTTTAGAATGCAGATGTGAAGTAGGTCTAATTTAAACAAGCGTTTGACTCGCATCAGTGAGCCTACTCTTGTCAGAAGACTTCCCTGACCAACTCTTCTGACGATCCGTTTTGAGGCAAACTAACTTTGGTTATTTTGCAAATGTCTGCGGTTCACACAAAAAAGAAGGTTATGAGCCTTCCCAAAATCTCTAAACATACAGAATAATACTTAATCTTTCAACCGCTCTTTTGTAGTTTTCTAAATCGTCACTTCACTTCGACCTGTGAGTTGCGTGGGGGACACATTAACCGCCTCAACTCTCAATTATAGCTTAGTTTGAAGCGTTGGTACATTATCCGTGCGTTGAGTGTCCAGAAATATTATGACAGAATGAGCTTGGGCAAGACCTATGTAATTATCAAGTCAATTCGCCCATCGGATGTATTCGCGGTGCGAGTTATCCTCCATTCGAGGGCTGAACTGTTTTACTCACCTGCGTGCCCTAAAAACGATTCTGCTAGCCTTGGGATGGAATAACTCTAACCAATATGAGACTGAACATAGAGGTAATGAGGGCGACGGGAGCATAATCTAGAGCAAGTTCTAGAAGTAAGGTCTCGCATGAGATTGCGTCATTTTATTGATGCTTTTCTCAGATGCCAGATCAGCGTTTGCCCCAGCTGTTTTGTATTAGGCCTTGGTCTAGCTGTTCCCAAACTGATGTACGGAACACCGTCCGCCGCGAGATGAATGAAATTATTCATAACCACACAAACTTCAAACTATACATTCGAAGGCCGTTCATTCTGTGACATGTGACTGTAAACTAAAAGCAATGAAACTCCTGTATCTACGAGAAAATTGTGATAAATTACCGTTTTCTTTTAGAATGCTTTGCGTACTTTACAAGTATTCACGTGAATGAATGGTGAGAAAATAATTAACAATTCTTCCCTAAATGTATCACACTATAATGTTATACACAGATGGGTAAACTGGCTTTTTTAAAACTCTTGAGGAATCATATCACTACGGAAACTAAATAAATCTGGAGGCCATATAATCAAAATAAAGAATAAAAACACGCACTGCCTGTAGAAATGTTTCCATTATACATTTGTTTCATTTTCAGTGAAGAAAAGTATGTGAGCATGTGACGGATGTGGGTGTAACATGGCTGTTATATTCTGTATTATATATATTCTATACCGCATTGCATACAATATAATAGTAAAATAAAGCTTCTACTGTGGGTCCAAGTGAGGGTAAAATGAAACACTGCAACAAGGCGAGAGGAAATTTTACACTAGGATAGATTTTAGTATAGTAGATTCCAAGATATATCCTCACCAATATCCTTCCTCTTAATTACTATCTCACTTATAAGGGCTGCTGATAGTAACCAAGCCCGGGGCAACTCAGGGACTTGGGAGCCTTTAGTTACTCATTTTAAGGATCTGTTTCAGTTACCTTATCCTTTTTTGTCAGTTTATAATTTCCAATAATTAGCACACAAAATAAAGAAAGAAATCTAAAGTAACCACATACCACATGAACATATACAGTATATCAAATTATTGAAAAGTAGAAAATCACAATAAGTAACTGCAGATTGGTTCATGATAACAATTATTACAAAAGTATAAAAACATAGATTTGAGTCTTCATATTCCTTTTGAAAAGCCTGTTAACCAGAGGCATAATTCGAGACAGTATCAGGGAAGTGGTAAAAATTGCTCTCTATCTTAATGTTTAATGTTTTAAAAAAATAAACGTACTAGACATGAAAGATCATATAGCACTATTGCTCTCCATCTTGTGTTTATAGATCTATTGGTTGAGTATAAGACAAGAATACCAAGATTAATATCTATGCATCAATCTGGGACAGAAGAGAGGGCTATTTAAAATTTTAGGTATAAGTGAATATTTTCACAATTTTAGTAAATCTTAGTTATGGGAATCAAGAGAATTGGAAAGAAGTATACTTAAACTTTAAGTAAACCTCAAAAGGAAGGTTATCATTATTGTTTCTAAATTATTGTTTATTATAAAAACAGCACAGTTACACATTCATAACATTTATTTATGAAACTATGTACAAAACAACTATTTCTACAAATAATTACAATTCATCTACACAAGTAGTTATACATGTTGGGATCTGGTAACATCCATCTTCTTTCTGACCATTTTCCATTATAAGAGCCAATAATCGAGACATATGACATACCTTAACATGGATCATTGATAGAAAATTAGCTGATGAAGGACCAGTCTTATGGAGAGACCAAAGTCTTTTACTTATGAAATCCCCGTACAGAGAAATACGACTTACTTCGTGATAATCTTCTGTATGTGGAGAAAACATTTCCAGACCTATGGCAGCACTTTCTTGTGGCTCAAGTCTCTGGGCTGAATACTGTGTCAGTCTAAAATGAAGATTAAGTCTGGAGTAGCTCTGCACAAGAGCCATGAGCACTTCATTCAACAATAGTTCTTCATCAATTGCCTGAGAATGGTACAGCAAAAAGGCATCAACAACTGTAGACTGTCCAGCATGTAAAAGGCTTGGATTATGAACTCTGGGTGGAGCATAATGCCTACCTACAGTGATTAGTTTCTGAGGTAAGCATTCTGGATTGCTAATAACCTGTTTTGTAAAGTATGCGGCAAATGCTTGCAAAGATCCACCTCCAACAAGGTACTGCAAATTACTATCTGTATCACTTTCATGAGAACCCAATGCAAACACTCTCTCATCAATATTCACCCCACAGCCTTCTACAATGACTGCCTTTGCAAAATCTGGATTTGAATGTATTAAATATCCATGATTTTTAAAGTTTGTCAAGAAGTAATCATTACATGCTAATTCAAGGGCTGCCAATCTCCCTTTTAAATAATAAGCTGAAGGTGAGACATTAATGAATTCCAATTCCTGATTAATCCTTCCCAGTTCTACGTGGCTCCTGGCTTGGAAATCATATTTTGGTTTCTCAAAAAGCTTAAAAAGCTCCTTCTCATATTCACCTGTTGACTTGTGCAGCACATTCGGCAACTGCAGAGCACCAATAACAGCCTTTTCTTCCAGGTCCCAGATCTCTTGGGTGATGCTCTTCAACTGCTCTCGAATATCTTTGCCTTGCCTTTTAAGCTCTTGCATTTCTTTTACATTCTTATCCTTCATCTTTGCACACTCTTTCATCAGCTTTGCTACTGAAGTTCTCTCTTTCTCTAGCTTCTCCTTCTCCGATTCCTTTTCCTTCAACTCTGTCCACATCCTCGATAATTCTCTGACATCTGTGTCAAATCCCCGGAGCTTGACATTAGCTTCCAGTCTGCCTATGTCTTGGAAACATTTTGTAAAATCCAGATAAGGTGACAGAACTGAAAAAGTTGTTGTAGCTTTGTTCCCAGACACATACAATGCTGAGGTACTTTGCTTCTTAACAGTAGCCTCTTTTGCATGTGAGGAAAAGCTTGCAGCTCTATTACAAAGTGGTACAGCAACATTTCTAAGTGTGTGTGTTATATGTTTTAGATTATTTACACTTATTATCATTTGAACAGCCATTTTCGGTTTGCAATAAAATATTTTGAAAGAGTCCACTGTTACTCAAAGTTGAAGTCAATTAAGCTTCACCAAAAAATAAATAAAGTAAAAATATTCTTCAAAGTTTGTAATTTATAAAGTCCTGTTTCACCACGTGTTAAAAAACATGATATTCAATTTCATACTATAAACTATACTGTTCAAGAAATTTGGAAAGAAATACAGCACAGTTTAACCACAGATCAGCTTCATCACGGACGTAGCTCTTCTTCAAATGTAAATTCATCAGACTGCTCCTCATCACTTTTAAATTCCTTGCTGTCCTCGTGGTTCTCTGCTAAAGCCTTGTTTTCTTCTGCTTTTCGGAATTCTTCATCCAAATCAAAACGTCCAACAGGAGTTAATCCCTCAATACGATACATCACAACATTCTCCTTCTTCAACAGCTTTGCAAACTCTCGAGCTATAAAAAAAAATGAAAGGCAAAATTAATACAATAAAATCAATACTGCAACTTAATCTGTCGGCACTACAAATTAATAAAGTCATTATAACCAAAGATATGATTATATCCCAACTCTTTCTTTGTTTATTATATATGCAAAATCTTCAAATAATACCTAAGATCTAAGGAAAAAATAAAAATAGTTTACTCTACGATAAAAATATTAGGCTAATAGCAATTATATGCATTATACATATGTTTGCTACATAAAAAACATAATTAAGTCAATGAATTTTGGTTGGCCAATCAGTTTTCCTATATATATGTAATCCAGATGTTAAACAAGTTAGCTCTTTATAAACTTTTGTAATTCTTGAAGAGAAAATAAATAAACAATAAGAAATAAGGTGAATTTCTAAATGAAAAACTAGCATTTTCTAATACAGAGGCTCTACCAAAGTATACAGTATATGGTAACACCTTCCAACCTGGTTCTATATTGTTAACTGACTTGCAAGTGTGTGTAGTTATATGTATATATAAACAAAATGGCAGCTTAGCATACCTTGAGACAAGTCACTGTCTGTTTTCTTAATGCGTCCTGTATAAACCAAATAACCAACTAATCCAAATAAGTTCCATGCTATAAATGCATACCCATATGAAAGTTTCCTCCTGAAAATGAAGAAATTCCAAGATTTATCATAAAGTATACATAAAATATACATAAATGATACAATTTCAGCATTGAAGTATATAAATATTGTTAGAAATTAATCACTGATAAGTAATAACTATCACTAACTTTATACTTCTCAAGAAATACATTAATTATGTAACATTTACTCACAAGACAACAAAAGAGACTTCATACCTACCTCATAGACAAAGCACGCACTTCAGGAATCTGATTTGTGTGCCGGCGAACTATACGCCTAATGAACTTTGGCATTGGAAAGCGGATCATCACATCTGTCAATCAAAATAATTAAAATACATAATCATATGAATTACAAGAAAGGATGTTTCACTGAAAGTATTTTCTCAAAGCAGTGTGCTCTATTATTCCTAGGAATAATGATACACACTATTCCTATGGTATCTTTCAGCATCTAGAGCTGAGCTGTGCTGTGCTGTGTGCTGCAGTGTGGTATTGTGCTGTCCTAATTTGTAAGAAAAATCAATTTAATGAGTGCCCAGTAAAACTCATTTTATATTGGAATCAGAAAAAAATCAAGTCATTTGCAGGTCTGGATGAAGCAGCCTTCTGAGTAGAGAAATGCATGATGATCATATATTAGGCAGTGATCAAATTGTCTCTTTGTCCAGTCTCTGGCATTATGGATTCCTTGGTATTATTTGGTCTTAAAGAATTCCTTACTATATATTACATTAGGATGATATACACAGGTAGGTAAAATGGATTCTTTAAATTCTTAAGGGATCATACCGGTTAATATGTAGAAGAGGGTAGTGGGTTACTTTTGAAACATTTTTGATATTATTCTGCATGAAATCCACTGCTTTCAATGATTCTAGGCATTGTTCCTTGTGCATATGAATCGTTGAGGAGATATGATCACAATCTCCATCAAAAATCTTGATTTGATAGTCCCAACAGCAGAGGAGGGCATGAGGTATATCAGGGAAATTATGAGGTAAAACAGGACCCCCGTGATTGTTAAACAAAACGTCCTAATCCAACATCCAACCTAACCTAACACCATGGTATATTTTCCCTAGCCATGATTTGTAACCATGGCTAGGGACCACGGGAGTCCTTACCCTGCATCTAGAATTCACCCTTGATATGTAAACAAGATGAGCGACTTAGCCAAAGTTGAGGGATCTTCTATTTTCTTTTAAGTATAGCACCCTTAGAAAGCATTTACACACATATTGCCATAGTACTTTGTCTTGGTTTGTATTGTTCTATCATTCCCTGAAGGTTTTATTACCCAACTCTGCCACTACCTTATACTACATAGTACATATTGTCCGAAAATCAAAATGATAAATTTCCCATCCCAAGTCTCAGGCTCTGAATATGGCAATGACTGTTTTAATTGGCTCTCGATAATATAATCCACTATAAAAACTGCAAAATACCTCTCTGTTAATAGAGACTGAAAATTAAACACACACTGAAAACTGTAATAATGCTACGTAAATAGTTAACAAATCAGACCATGAAAATGACAACACTGATGTAGCAATTTCCTAATCAGAATGTCTTTAAATAAGTTCAAATGAAACGTAACAAATCTATTTCATTACTATTTTCCCCTTCAAATATTACGCACATGAGGTTGTAAGAGAATTTCCAGGACAACATTTGCCGGTCGCCAGCCTCCTTGTTTACTAATGGGATAAAGGCCTAAACGTTTTTAACATGTGGTAAGCGTGAGAAACAGATTGAATTGTGATAATAAAAGTGATTATCTTCTTTAACATCTGGTAAGATGTTAAAGAAGTAGATTGAATTGTGAGAATAAAAGTGATTATCCTCTAAAATAGATATTTTGTTAATGACTGAATATCATTTTTTTCTTTGCTTAGAGTTTGGTTTAGTTGTATGCCCAGTAAAAGAAAATACTAATAACCTTGTAAAAACTGATTATTTTGACATTTTTATTCATATTAGGATATACAGTAAAAAAAAATAATAACCATACCAAAATAAAAAGATTTTTGTTTCTCAATAACCAAAATAACAAATACTTTTACGTCCGGAATCCTCAGGAAAACATGCCGAGAGGAGCCACCGCCAGCATGAGCCTTTCACAATAACCTTCATTATGGACGTGTGGAATAACAGACAAATACCCAGGCCTCCAGAATACACTTTAAAGTATTCGGCCGAAGAGATAAGGGAGAAGAATTTCGGTAAATGAGTTTCTTAATATCTTTATTAACGTACCACCCAAATGGAAGGGTTATTCGAGTTCGTAACTTCGGCCAAGTTTTGCATGTGTGATAATTACCGCTGTTGATTCTTCCTGACACTTGATTGGAATAATTACCTAATGATTTCCCAAAACAGGATTGCATTAAGTGATTGCCCCAGGCTGGAAACAGTGACACGATCGTAATATATTGTTTTCACAGTGCAGTTCTCCCTTTCTTATATGTTGTGGAATTGCCACAAATCACGCAAATACTTTACAAAGTGAACGACCCGAAAGATTTATCAGTTAAATAACCATACTAGGTTGTGCCATCAGTGACAACCCATATTTATAATGTAGAAATGAAGTATAGGTGATGTATCATTTGTCACAAACATTACATATTGCAAATGAAATGAACCGTACATTTTTAGACAAACTGAACCTTTAACTGTACAAGTTACAACTTTTGAAAATAACTTGTAAGAAGGATCTCAGTCTGGTGATTGCCAGACATCCATGTTTCACATGCTGGCAGTATTTGCCGTTAGAGAACTTAAACTGGTTACTCAATTGATGGTTAATTGCCAAGGAAATCTGCAAACTTTGTCTTCAATATTAATCACATTTTTGGGAGGATGGGCACAATAAAACATGGTGTTTAAAAAAAAAATGACAGACTTGTCTGTAAACACTGAGTATGAAGAGGGGCCTCTAAGATTTCAGGGAAACTAGAAAATGTATTCAAGGGAGATTGAAAGTCAAGTAAATATTTGAAAAATTCCTTTTCCAGGAGACTTTGACAGATCTGTGGTTGGTATTAGTTACTTTTGCCTTGCAAGTCCATACCCCAGTAATGATTTTACAATACTTTATTCCATCTTAGTAACCTCAAAGCTGTACAACCTTTATCAATGGCACAAGGTTTATCTCACCAGATAGAACAGATGAGATTGACTCATTTGAAATACCTTTAGGCCAATATGTAAAGAATAATCAGTTTTGTTCAGTAAAACAAAGTTTAGTCATCTATAGTTCAAAAGAACAACGTTGCTTTAGTTGGAGAAGTCGGCCAAGTTTTGTCAGTCTTTCTTTAGTTAGGTGATATTCACTGAAGATTGTCATTAGGCGGATTAGGCCTCCCTTCACTTTGAGATGGACTTTAGGCAGGAACTTTATTATATTATTACTTCTCAACCTTTACAAAGATACATAAAAATTGTCTTGCACAGGAAAGTATTTTTTGTTACAATTCTATATGCAACATTTATATTTTTATCAGTTAGTAAGAATCATAGCTTTCAGAAATTTAGTTTGATTTTTCTCTCTCTCTCTCTCTCTCTCTCTCTCTCTCTCTCTCTCTCTCTCTCTCTCTCTCTCTCTCTCTCTCTCTCTCTCTCTCTCTCTCTCTCTCTCTCATATTCATCTCCCTAAAACAAGGGTGGTGGCACTCACCACAATATATATATACTTTTCATTGTAAGGCACTTTTATAATATTCTTAATTTGTCATTCATATCTTCAGGTCTTCTATTGCATTTTTGAATTACAGATGTCTGTCTCCAAGCCCTGTTAGAAGCCATTCTTTGTGGCCACGCAGCCCTCAACCATTATGAGGTGATTGGGTGTTGGAAGCGTGAGGCTGCAATCCTCTCCACGACATTGTGCCAAGAAATAAGACATCGTAAAGACAAATATTTCAGAGTCTTGAAAAAGGTAATTATATAGTTTTAAGTTTAGGAGATATATGCAAAAAGCATTATGTGAGAGTGAGTGTGTTTGATTTTTTTTCTTCTTCTTCTCTTTCTCTTTAATTAAAATTGATAGTTACATTCTAGGCCATACACCAGTTAAACCCAATCAAAGCAGTGACAGGATTGTAAGCTTGTAGGCAAATCCCTGATTCAAACTGCACTGTCAGCTTTTGAAATAGTGCAGTTTTATTAACAGTTGTTATTAATTTGTATTCAGCTAATTATAACTTATTTTCAGACAGTTCTATTCTCTAAGGAAGCCAAGTTAGTGTCAGCATGTGTAAAGATAATGAATATCAAAATATTTCAGAAGTTGGTAGTTAACCTGGATTACGATTCATTCAAAAGTTAAGGGTTGGTTGGTATTTAAAATAGCCAGGTATGACCTTTATAGTTGTGAAAAAAAATGCAGATCCTGTATTTAGAAGCATAAAAATAAATCTAATGCTGATTTATTCCCTTGTAGGTAAATAAAACTGTCCAAAGATGGGATGAACTGAAGATTGATGAATATTTAACAGTTCTACAGTCCTTGACACCAAAGGTTCCAGACTGGAACAAGTAAGCTTATTTTGAAAATGTTTTCCCTTGTGTAATATTTTAGGTGTTATTATTATTAGTATTAATTAACTGATTGTTTGATTTCTTTTCTTTTCTTTTCTTCTCCCCCCCCCCAGTCATTCAAAATATGTACAATGTCTAACAGAATTTGCCAAAGCATGCACAGCTCATCACTCAGCACTTAATGTCATGACCAGGCTCCTGAGGCCTTATCCCTGGCATTGGGACCTGATTATGTAAGTGACAGTTCACCCAGCATCAATGGATTCACCACTTGACTCTGGTTGATGTGACCTTCATGTCATTGGAGGCAATGAGTCTTGACACCACATGAGTGTTGGTGTGGACTGGGCCTACAAGCCACACTGGGGAAAGTCACCACTCAAGTAAGTTTAATGCCTAGACCACAAGCAGACAGAGAGGCACCTATGTTATGGCAGGGGGGGCCAGCCCTGGATGATGAGAAGTGTGCAAGTAAGACAGTAAACACAAATATTGAAAGACTAGTGAAATCAAAACAGACTCTGAAGTCTCAATAAAATTAGATAATATTTTTATATTTTATATTTTTATTGTGTAAAAATGCTAACCCCAATGATCCAGATGACATGACCATCATGTCATGATAACATTTGTCTTGAGGGATGGGTGACATGAACATGCCATCATGGAAAAATTTTGCTATGGCTTGGAGTGACCCAAACTAGCCGTCATGAGCATTTCAGTTGAATGTCGGGGTGACAGGAATGACTTGCCATGAGTGCACAAAATTCTTGGAGGATGTTTAGTCTCATTTGTCATTTAGGAGGAGGCTTTTGCATTGCTTCCATCAATAAATGAATGTGGAATGTACTATCCAGGAACCTTCACTGGAAGGATGCTATTTCCATGTTCAGGAACCTGTTCCAGTCCACCATCACCAGAAGTACAAATTTTAGTACAGAAAATTAAATGGAAAAAAAAAAAAATACTCAAATAGCAAAATGTTATTTATTGTTATTATTGATTTAAGTTATGGACTACCTAGAGAGATGATATGGAGTCTGTGTAAGGAAAACAATCTACAAATTTAGACATTGGAAAATGGCAAAAAAGCTAAAAAGGGAAAATAACATTGCAAAGAGGAGGCATGGAGTCTTGTCAACACATACAAGTGTTTGTACACACCAGGCCTACAAACCACACATCTGCTCAAGTAAGCCTAATGCCCATAGTTTGGATGGCAGTGAAGCATCTGGATCCAATGGGTTGATTATGCCTCAAGATATAGTGCTACATAAGTAGAGAGGGGAGAACAAGAGTTTTATAGCACATCTGAACTCGCATGTGAAAAAATCACATGTCAGAGGTAAAAGCTACACCAGGGCTTTGGAGACAGATCTCACAAAAAATATATGTATATATAATTTGAGATATATGGGTTTTAACAAGTTTGGCCCAGGAAAGATCTCCCCTAGCCTTGCTGCAAAAGCTCTCTGCAACTTTTTTTTCTTCTTCTTCTTCTTCTTCTTCTTCTTCTTTCATCAAAGTTCCCCCCCCCCCCTTCTTTTTTTCTTTCTTTCTTTCTTTTTTGAGATGTGATAAAAAAATACTAATTTTATTGCTTTTTATTGAAGGAATATTTTTGAAAAATATTTGGTTTTAAATATTAGGTATACTGAAGACATTTCTTGAAAAGTAAAATGGGAGAGGATAGGGAAACAAGTGAACAGAAAGTAATCCTGAATCTGGGTGGGATTTTTTCCATCAAAGTTGCCTCTTCAAAATAATTGTATTGCTTTTTGGTATATAGTTTGAAAAATGGATATGGATATTGAGATGTGATTTCTCTCTCTCTCTCTCTCTCTCTGATTTTCATATCAAGTAGTGTAAACTCATAACAGTGATTATTGTGGCACAGAGCCCCTTTTCTATTTTTTCCCAATGATATTAGTTGAAGTTTGTCATAAAAAATTCCATTTTTGTGTAAACATTTATTTTGATTTTTAAGTCGCTATTGTAAAATTAATTCACAAGAAAAGAAAGGAAAAAAATCTTACAACTAGAAAATTTATGGAAAGGTTGTAATTGTACAGATACAGTCTATGCATTTTCTTGAATTCTTAGTTTTCTCTATGCAAGAAGTGTGAAGAAATTTTGATCATCTATTCCTCAAGACAAGAAGAGTTGTCACCTGAAAACATTTCCCATCTGCATTTTTTTCTTCTTTATTTTCTTCCGATCCAAGCTTTATTATTGCTCATTTTGTAGTTCACAACTACCTGTGTCAGCACAGACCTGTCGTCATCTTCTTCTTCTTCTTCTTCTTCTTCTTCTTTTTGTACTTTTAGTAAAAGGACAGAAATGGTATCTTAAAAATTGCTTCCAGAAGTCTTGGGGAAGGACACTACTTTAGACAAGAATGTGAACAATGAGTTCAGTATTTTACTTAATGTTACTAATGTATACAGAATGTAGTTCTGCTAAAAAAACAGTACACTATTTTTTTTGCATGATGGGGTACCTTAGGAAACAGAGATTGGGGCCTGAGGTCCAGTGTTAGGGACTAGTGTTAGCCCAGCTAAATGGGATCAATTTTTTGTGATTCCCCTACAACCCTTTACTTTAACAAAACTCTCCTATTCTAACAATGTCTCCAAAGACATTTAGGTAAAATTCCTTTTGCATCTCTTCCGATTGTTCACACCTTGCCATATTTACATCCAAGTCCCAAGTTCATATGTTATCCACCTTGACTGATCTCACTGTTCTGTGAAATGTCTCTGCACATAAATGGCTCCATATGTGCTTAGCTACAAAGGCATTAAATAGTAGACCTTGTGACCTCGCTTGATTTCACCTTTCCTTGAGTTTGCAGGAATGCTATCAATATCAATGCTGTTATTATTATTATATATATTATAAGTATTGTAGTGTTGGTAATACTACTAACAGCAACATAAAAGGCCAGAAAATATTTCAGATAATCAAGGAAAAGGGTAAAAAAGTGAGATAAGTAGTCCTAGTAATTGGCTCATTAGTAACTTAGTACTTGTAGAATCATTTATATGTAAAGGCAATTTATAAGCTAAATTCATAGTGGGCAAGGCATGTACATACATACCATCCACTTGTACCAGAACTGTTTCCATCTCCCTGTCTACAAGTATTTGTCAGACTGTGAAAATTACCTGCTTGTATTAGTGTTTTCTCACATGTACCCCCCTCCCCAATCCCATTCCCCTGTTATCATAGGAGACAGGGACTGGTTTTAATGTCAGTTCTTGGGTCAACCAATTTTGCATGGTCTTTTCATCTCCCTCTTTGCTTTTCCCTCTCTTCTTCAATCTCTTCTACTGTCTACTTCCTAAGTTGTAAGAGCCATGGTGAAGGGATAAAAGGCCTCTAGGGGACCCTGAGGCCACTGCAATCTTTTTATTGTTTAGTGAGCCCGCCGCATTCAATTTTCGCGAAGTGTGAAAAAAAAATAAAATTGAGGTTTTGAAAATTTTAATTTTGTTTAAAAGCAAGAGCAGAATGAACAAATAAGGTTTTTTAAGAAAATTTTTTTTTTTTCTTTCAAAATTTTATTTTCATTTCTCCCGCATATAAATCCTCAGTGGAAATGTCCTGTAAAGAAAAAAATGCCTCAGAAGAGAATTTTATTTTTTTTTTTTTTTCCTACCTCCTACTTCATACTTCAAAAAAATCTGCTCGCTAAACAAAAAAAAAAAAAATATGTACCCATATTAGGAGCATTAATGCTTGCTCCTTCATCAGTCAACCTATCTGAATTGGACTTTTCTGGTTTCCTGACCCTTACTTCTCCTTTGATCAGTTTGATCAGTTACGATCAGTGCTACTACTACCTCTTCCTCAATGCTTGTTGTCAACTTGATCCATTGTGAATCATCCAATATCATCCATTCTATCTCCTGCACAGATTTCTTCATTTTCTGCCTACTCCTCCCTTATTACTACTCTTCTTCCTTATTGTCCTCCTCTCTGCAGTACTACCTCACTCCTCACCACTCCCTCTTCCTCCTATCCTCCTCCTACTGATTCCACCTTTACAAACTTTTAAGTACACTTTTTAGCCCATCCAAGGGGGATAGATTCATTGTGATTCCCCCAACAGCTCCATACTATGACAATTCTCTCCCCTTCCAATAGTCTCCAAAAACAAGGATCATCCATACCTTGTGAAGTTACATCTGAATCCCAAGCTCATACATTATCTACCCTGACTGACCTCACTGGCAAACCTTTTCCCACCAAACCCCACTCCTCCCTTAACACTTTGTTCACAGGTGGCATCTACTATGATGCCATGGTGGCATAGTGCTGATGCCACGGGTGGCATCCCTACAGATACAACAGTTTGGTGAACCACACAGCACAGCTGCCAAAAAAGCCTGTGCACATTGGGTTAATACTTGTACCAAAACTGTTTCCATCTTCCTACAACAAGGTTAGGTCAGACTGAAAACAACCTTCTTGCCTGCCTCATTGACTATGATACACCAGTATTACCAAGATTACTTTTTGTAGACATGACCTCCCCCATGATGTTTTTATTGTCACAGAGTCTTGCCCTGTCCAGCCCATATTGATGCCTTCACCATCAGTGTCAGAAATGTTGTTGTTTTTGGCACCCTGGCAAGCACTGTCAATCCACTGCCTGCTGCCATCTTTGTGTCAAACCCAGCCATGACCATTCAAACTGCTCTGCTCAATCATGCACATGTGCCAATTGTGGCGACTCCCATAATGTATTTTATTGGATCTGCCTACCTTCGAGTCTGAGGTAACAGTTCTCAGATTCAAATTAGGTATCACCCTACACAAGGCCACTCAGGAAGCACACCAACAATATTTTCCTCTTGCTACCTATTCCTATGCCTATACCTATGCTGTGCTTTGCTCCATGCATTTTCCTACTTCCCAATATGTTTCAGCATCTCCCCCAGTATCTCTTCCCCCTATCCCTTACTATCCTACCTTTCCTCCCTCTCCCTCCTAGTCAAATTCTTTTGCCATTCCAGATACTCCTGTCTCTGCCACTTCCCCAGTGCCATCTCACTTTACTTGTTACACCAGGCAATCTAAACATGCCACCCAATCTTCCCTGCCACATTCTTTCCTACACCCAACTCTTCCTTTACTCTTTGGACATCTGTCTGCTCTTCTCCTCATAAGAAAATCCACCCATCTCCCCTCTAGAAATTCTTGAGGACATCCATAACCTTTTAGACATAACTCCTCTCTCTCTCTCATCCACCCTCCAATCTCTCTGTTTCCATTCCTTCTGCAATCAAAGTAACTGCTGACATGTATTCTGCTCATGCTCCCCTTAGCCCTCTTCCTTCCAGTCTTTTCCAACACACCCTATCCTCCCCTTCTCCATCTGCACCATCCCCATTATCCTTTCTGCTCCCACCTGGATGCTCTGGATCCTTTTCCTCCAGATTTTCTTACTGATACTTCACCTCCTTCTATTCCCTTATCTTATTCCCTGCATAATGGCTCTTTTGCACCATTCCTCATGCAGTGTTGGGGCGTAGGAGGTCTAAGGTCTGTGTATTTGTATATCAGTCTGTTTTTGGAAGGGTTTATTTGGATTTGAATGACTTCTGTTTTGCATAAAGCAGGCATTCCCACTGAATGTGGGAAAACAGAAGAGAAGACTTTTCAGTTAATAGGTTATATTGTTGATAGTGTTAGTGTTCATCTGTGCCTGTATATTATTGTTACATAAATGTCATTACATAAAAGTTTAAATGTCTTATTTCATTTATGGAAAAGGGTTTCACATAAAGTTGAAATGTAACATTATACCAATTGGAAAGATTCTTGATAAATTATACATGTACTGTTTGTCTACTTTTCAGTTTCATATATGTACAGATAGTCCCCTACTTAAGAACATTCTACTTATGAATATCCATACATAAAAACAAAATTTTTTAAGTACTAAAGTCCAAAAAATTGTTTGAAAGATGCTAGCAAACTTCAAATTTCCCAGGCGCGAATATAGTTCAAGAGTCTGGTACTGTATAAAGTATGTCGTACTTATTGGGATTTATATACAGGTATCTTAATGTAAACAAAACTTTAAAACAATGGGGAAAAAGGTAATGGAGACCCGACTTTCGACATCCAAACAAATCAACTTACAAAAAGCCTCTCGGTCCTCATTATGTTCTTAAGTTGGGGACTTTTTTTTATGCCATCATTAATATATTTAATTGTTGTAATATAATGATTTAAGCAATTAGTCAAACAAGCAACAAAGTTTTGCTAATACAACTGCACTTTCATTTCCTGCAGAAGTGTTCGTGTGCCTTCAAAACAGATGTACGAGTACCTTCTAGTGCGAGTCGTCGGAGGTTTCCATCTGCTCCTTTGCATAGAAGGTTATTGTCGTGAAGCTGCTGGATACCTCGTGATGAAGATGAGGACTGGTTATTTCTTCAATATAGCCTCTGCTTTTATAGCCAATGTGGCCAGAATAAGGCAAGTTGGTGTTTAGCTGGTAGAGGGTAATTTGAGAATGGTTATGTGGTTCAGATTCTTGTGTGATTAAGAATTACAGATTATTTATTCATGAAATTATAGTTATGCTGTATTCATAGCACTTCTTCATCAGTGTTATTATTGAAAGGTTAACTAAATATAACTCCTTAATATTTTTTTCATCTTTGTTCTTATTTTAGAGCTCTTGCACTAGATTTAGCTGGGCAGTTGGCAGAACTGTATGATGCAGTTTACCCCTTGTTAGACAACTTAAAAGGGACCTCTGCTTCCTCCCTTTTTGAGAAGAAGGATCATCCCTCAAGCCTCAATACTGAACTCATGAACTATTGCAAATCCCTAAAATTGACAAATGACGACAATGCAAGGTAAATTACTTTTATTTTAGTCATGGAAGCATATTTTACTGAGCAATTTTTAATTATGTGGGTTTACCTAAATCACTTGTAGGTCACTTTTTCGTTCTTTATTTATTTATTTAGGTGAAGGATGAATATTATCTATCTGTTATATGCATCAAAGTATAACATTTTCTCTTTCTTAGGGTGTTGTAATGTGCTTTATATGATTTTTATATTAGTTTTATCCTATAGAAATTTCCATGTCTACCTAATGTATATTCCCAGATTTACATTTAACTTTCTGTAGAGAACAACACCTGTGAAATCTTTTGCTTTTATTGTTTGCTCTTTCAGTTTCATGACTAGTACTTTGTTCTGGTAAGTTTACATGTACACTACATTTTTTGAGTCATTCTTATTAGCAATTACATGTTTTGCAGTGTTTTTCCCAATTTTCTTTTTATATTTTTCTGTTATGAAGGAAATTGCTCAAATGGTATGCCTAATCTAACTTTTTCAAGGTTCCAGACTAGAAACATTGTCTTTATATTCTGCACAGTTTTGAAAATTGGCTAAGCAAAAGTTCTCATTGTTTGTTTGAAATTATTTTAACCTATTGCTTATTGCTTTTCCAAGTGATCTATACAAAAAAACTTTCCCAAGGATGATTGATAAATTTGTATCCATTAAAAAAAATCAAACAGCCATGTTTGTAAAATTAATTGTTAATTTTCTCATACGAGAAAACAAAGTTTCCAGTCTGGACTATGGAGATTTTAAAGCAGAAGTGGTATGCAGATTATAACTAGTCAGTAACACAATACTTATTACAGGAGAAGCAAAACTGGCCCAGACTTGCTAGCCTTCCTGCACATCCTCAAAGACGATGAGGCAAATGAAACTACCTTTCTGGAGGCAGTGGAATCAGCAGAAGTAAACCCAGCAGAAATCAGAAGTGAAGAACAGCAAGAAAAAAGCAGTAACAAAAAGAGTGAGAAATCAGACAA